CCACTTTACCTATGGGGGTGTGTCAGATTTATATGACATAGCTACTGTAGGCTAGAGTGGGGTAGCACATATGGGGTACAGTTTTCTAGGGTACAGTTGTACCCAACTTTCACTTAGTCATTCTCATTCCTGTTTTTCTTAATTCACACTGCCATGTCGGAGCGACGAGCCAACGGCGCCACCCACAGGTAGTTGGTGTAGTCGTCTTTGAGCGTCAGCACGTAGCGAAGTGAGGGGTGAGCGTCACCCAAGTCCATGATGTCGCTATGCACGAGCTCCAAAGGTCGAGTTGTGCGCTTGTCACCACCTGTGGGAAATGGGGCTTTGCTCATCTTCCCTCGAAGACATGAGTCACACGGGGGTTTGAGAGGGTTTGTCTTGTCGGATATGGAGAGTCCTTCAACATCTCCATTGCGAAATGTTGCATCCATGGATGAGTATGACGGGTGGCCCAAGCGCTTGTGGGCCATACGATATGTGATGGATGCATGAGCAGATTGCACATTCAGCCCTCCAAGATCTGTCGCATTCAATGCTTCATTCGGATGATCATGACCAAATTCATGGGCGGATGTAAGTGCAGGCTCATAGTGCACCATTAACACCCCATGGATGACCATTCCAACTCCAATGAGTACATGCTCATTTCCATCCGTCATTGTGATCTCCGTGTGCCCATCCTCACGTGTGTGAATTCGTGCTCCCTTCTTGTACAGCTGGCAATAAGAGAGCAGGTTGGACTTCAAACCGGGTACGTAGAGCACGTCCGTGTAGCGCACTGTTGTCCCAGTGGGTGCCGTTGCTTGGATTGTTCCCGCCATCGAGCTCAACAGGTGGCTTCCGTCAGCAAGTTCCACGTAAACAGGTTCGTTCAGCTCCTCTAGACCCTCAAACCACTCCTTTTCTCAAGTCATGTGTTGGCTGCATCCGCTGTCCAGCAACCACATCGACCCTCCGGTTGACGGTGATGTTGCTTGTGACGATCGAACAGTTGCAATGCATGTAACGGTTCGTTTGTTGTCTCCCCCGGCTGCCCCTTGCTGTTTTGTCGCTTGGTTGTCACGTTTCGGACTTTCACTTCTTCGCGGCGAGGACGAACGGCTACTCCAGGTGCGCTGGTTGGTTCTCCCTCTGTTTTGTGGTTCCCAACCTGGTGGTGACCAACCCGGAGGCGCCTTGGGACACTTGTAGAACGGGTGGCCAGATTCCTTGCAGTACCAACACACAAGGTTAGACCGTCCTCCTTTTCCTTCGTTGCCTTTGAATTTGTCACCAATCGGCGCATGCTGCCCTCCCGTTGACCTTGCCGCATTCTGGTTGCCCTTTCTCTCGGTCCTCTCCTTTGCTGGTGAAGTATCTCCACGTGCTTGACCAGCCATGCGGGGAGGACGTTTGTCACGGTTGGTCTTGCTAATGAGGTCTTGGTAACGTTGTTCCTGAATCATCATTCGCTGTAGTGTGTAGCTGTCCGAGATGTCGTGTAGCATAGCTGAATGCCTTAGCTCCTCCCAATGCGGCGGCAGCCCGGTAATCAGATTTAAGGTGAATGAATCTTCATCCACCATTTTTCCTGCCATTGCCAACTTATCACGAATTGCAGTTGCTCGGTTGATGTATTCCTCCACTCTTTCTTGACTCCCCATCTTCAGGTTGTCCAATTGCCTTTGGAGAGATGCCTTTGCCACCGAATCCTTTGCCTGGTAAGTCTCCATCAGGTACTCCCATGCTTCGAATGCCGGACTGTATGACTCTTGGAACACGTCCAGTTGCAGCTGAATCGTTGCGTTCACGCTATGTAGCAGTACCCAAAAAGCCAGCGTAGCCCGTTGTGAGTAATCTGCTTGCAGAACTTCCAGCCGTTCCATTGCATCTCGCATGTCTCCATTCGCCATTGTAACCGGGTATTGTAGTGTCACGAAAAACTCCCACAGATTTGTCACGCGCGCGTTCATGCGAAACCGAAGAGCCCACTCTCGGAAGTTAGTCCCGTCGAACGGGGTTGTTGTGAACGCTTCGTCCACTGCTGCTCCCACCATCTTGCGTAATAACCTGTCCTTGTCTTCTTCCGTGTACTCTCGTGGAGACGGGTCGAAGAGCGTAGGCACGTTAGATGGTCGAGGTAGTTGTACCGTGCGTTGTGTGCCTTCACGTTCCACCACTTCCACTTGATCACATCGCATAACACCACTTGACTGCATCCCGTGCCCCATGCGCCCCATGCGCCCAATGCTTACTGCAGGTACAGCTTCCATTTGAGACCGTGGCGCACGAGGAGGTATGACGTTGTTGCCCAAAAGGTGAGGTCTGCCCATCACGGGAATTCCAATGGGATGGGAGTTAGTAGCAAGACGTCGTAGTGGGGGAGCACCAATGGTGTAGGACTCGAATCCCACACCTTCCATGCCCACATGACTGCTTCAACCATTCCCTTCACCAATCTGTCCTCTCATGTTTCTTCCCATGCCGAGCCCATCACCATGCTCCATCACATTCGTTCCACTCCCGTACGCATCATCCCTCCCCGTTGCTTCCCTTTGCATGGTTGACTGAGGTTCGGGGTGGGAACTCCCCTCTCCTTGGAAGGATGCATCCCTCCCTTGGGATGACTCTCCTCCTTGGGGTAAGCTTCCCTCTCCTTCACCTTCAGTCCCTGCATCCATATTTGAAGTATGGGTTTGGTTAGTACGCGGAGTGTTTGGGTTGCTGAAATCTCGAACTTGGGCTGCCATGTTGAACTGTGCTCTTAATGACGCTTGGAGTGTCGGTGGTGCCCTTGCAATCATGTTCTCCAGGTGCTCATGTTGAGCCATGATGGCTTCTTCAAACGCCTCGTATCCAGCATCGACTTCATCGTCGAACCGCGCCATGTCTTCAATCCAAGTGTTGTCACTTACTGTGCGAGTTTGCTAATATGTATGTCCAATGTGAATGCTGAGAAGGTTCTGACTAAATTTTGGCAGCATGCCCCCTAGAGTAGCTCTGATACCATGCTAGAAAGGCATGATGCCGGCGTTGCGGAAGCTAGATTGTAGAAAGAGCAAGGCTGGAAGACTTGCACTGAATGGTTGAAAGCAGAATGAGAATAATGGAATTGATTGATTCTGAAACCACACAGCAGGGAATTTATGCTACCAGCTACCCTGCCCATACCCATCCATCCACACCAATAATTGTACCACCAATAATGGCAACTCCAGAGGAGTACCAATAATTCTACCCCCAAACCTCTAGACTCCAATAATTCTGGCCCTACAATAATTGTACAATTATTGTAGGTCCTGAAGTCTTATAAGGAGGACTACAGTAAAATCTAACAGCATAAATGTTTTGTTATATGTGTTATATTTCTCAACAAGTCCCACCTGAGATTGTAACAAGCTGAATGGGAGACCTACGGCATCCTCGCTAGTGTGGGGCTTGTTTCACTACAGGGCTGCCTTATTTAGAAGGTGGGAGAGAGTAAGGATTTACAAATCCTTGCTGAGGCACTCGTTAGCGAGGCCATCCCGAGTGTCACGCGACGAACCTGTCTTGCCTATTTCGTCGCATCGAACCACCCCCGAGTCGGCCTCCGCTCCAATCGCAACCATCACCGAGCCATCCCTTCCCGAACCCCCCGCCTAGCTAGGACTTCCCCTATTTAGGCCTCGTCACTTTGTGTATTCAGTCATTTCAGTACTCAATCATTCTCGTTATTCGTTTTACTGCGCACTCTGCAAGTTCATTCATATCAGCTGCACTCATTATCTGTCCGCCTGTTTGCGTTACTTGAACTGCTTTTAGTGGTGAAGTTCCGTGGAAATGTCATCTCCTAGTCGTCCCACGCACGAACGGTCGCTAGCGTAGAAATGGAAGAACGGTCCTCTGATTCGTTGGTCGGTTGGTTGGTTGGTAGGTTGCATCAGTTGAGACGTGATAACGGTGTGTGATGTTAGAGTGTACAGTTGACCAAACGACAGGCTAAACCCGCGTCGCTCAGCTGCTCCTAATGCAAGGACGGCTTTTTTATAATGTGCGGCGTCATTTCCAGACCGTCCCCGTTAGCACGACTCAGCGTTGAAAGAGTAGTGCTCGGGCGTGCAGCATGGAACTTCTTTCAGGCAGCGGTCGAGTTTGTACCATGTAACTATGTCGCGTGTACAGTTTTAGGTCAGGCAGTTTAAAGTCGAGGCGCACTAAGTCTGTTACAATGAAGTTGTAGTGTCCGTAACAAGCGTAACGAGTGTAAAACGCTTGTTCGCATACCGTGTCTGCTGCACATTTTCAGGTCAGGCTGTCAATAGTCGAGGCTCACTATGGCGGGTACAATGAAGCGAACGCGGAAGCTGCAGATTAGCTGCGGGGACGAGGAGGACGATGCGTTTCCCAGCCAAGGGTTATGGGAGATTAAGAATGCTGACGTGGACAGCGGCTCGACGGTAGAGACGTCCTTAGTAAGACAAAGCTCAGTGATTCCTACTCCCAGCACCACCACCACCGTAACGACTAGCATTGCCGACTTTAACTCATCAGGATATGGCGAGTCGGTATCATCCGCGTGGGACCACATTTTAGGAAGCGACGCGACTCCCACCGGAAGCGGCGGTCGCGGGTTGCATGATTCCCCTCTCACTCCCACCCCGCCAACCCCGATACACGACAAAATCCTCCAGTCTACGTCGATCGAGATCGGCCACGTCGGCACACTGACGTGGCGCCAGCTGGCGGTTGACCGCGATTTGAGGCTGATTTCCTGGTGGCACCACGTGCCGCTGTACAGCCGCGACGGGCTCCTTAATTTCGTCTGCTCGACTCCTAGAGGCTCGTGGATTAAGTACGAGGTAGCCCAGGACGAGGAGTTTACTCCGCTACGAATCGCTCAGTTCGGCAATAGCCCCACTAAGCCCGCGCATTTCGCGGAGAACGCGACGCGGTTCAGTTTAGGGTTTCTGCCGCAGACCTACGCGGACCCCGCGCAGCCCAACCCCGACTATGGCGGCTTGGCCTACCAAGGCGGTCCGATGGACGTCTTGCTGTTGGATCTAAACGACGCGTCGCGAGCCTCGTCGATTAGTCTGTCCAATAGTAGGCTGCCGTCCCGCGATTTACGGACAGGGGATGTGTGTCAGGTGAAAGTAGTCGGCGCGTTCGCGGTCGTGCAGCAGAAGAGCCGCCTTTCCTGGAAGCTTCTCGCTATTCCCGCGGTCGCGAATGCCGGTAGAAGCGGTAGCAGTGCCGGGGGGGAGGATGACGTGGCGGATCAAATCAGTGACGTGGCAGACGTGCATTCGATGTTCCCTGGCCTGCTTGACGACATTCGCGAATGGCTGCGATTCTGCGACTGCATCGATCCAGGTAAGCCAACAACGTGAGAATCTTTTCCCTTTTCATTGCATGGATCGCTCTCTCTTCTTTTCTTCACCTCTCATTCTATCCACTTGAATACTATAGGCACCCGATTACAAGTATTTTTTGCCGATTAGACGAGTAAGTTTCGCAAGCCAAGGCGAGATATCACCCTGGTTTTCTTTTGAAGGCGTGAAAAAAAAAAAAAGGCTTGAAAAGAAGCCATTTCCTTGTCACAAGGGAGCATTGAAGAAGAACTGGCGGATATGCGCACTAACCGACCTTTGGATATCGCTACAATCATTCAGTACAATGGAGTTATTTCCGTTATTTTCCGTAATCATCTTTTATGGCATGTGTAACCTACTCTGAAATCTCCAGGATAAGACTGATTAGCGTGTAATGTCACTTTCTTCTTACAAACTTCTTGAATCTCCAAAATCGTCGACCTCCCCCACCCCTCGGCCCCTTTCCCCTTTCCTTCGCTGTAGACGATGAGGAGAACGAATTTGGACTCAATCAAAGGGCCGGCGCTGCTGACGTGGCGCTAGCAATCATTGCGCAGGCGCATGCTTCCTGGCAGCTTCTCACCGACGACTCCCCGCCGCCTTCCCCCTGGAGCCCCGCTAACGTCGTGCTCTCGGCACGCATTTTGCAGGAGAAATGGCGCAAGTATACTGATCAGTACTACATGGAGACGGCTTGTAAAGGAGATGGGAAGGGTGGCCGCTGGGAGGGTGAGAGGGGGGAAAGGCAGTTCAGTGTGGGGAGCTTGGGAAGCTGGCAAGGGGGAGGTGGGAGTGGGTATGTGAGTGGGAGTGGGAGTTTGAGTGGGGGTGTTGCTGCTGCTGCTCCTCCGCTCAACCTCCCCTTTGTTCCGTTCAGCGATCCCACCACCTCGCGGGCTGGAAGGAGGTTCGACAGAGCGTGGGAGGAGACAAGCAGAGCAGGCTCGTTCGCTGTCAGCAGTGCCCGTTCGTTTTCTGCTGCTGCTGCTGGTGATGCTGATGGGAGTGGTGGTGCTGGGGGTGGTGTAGGGAGCGGATTGCGGTTTGGCGGCTCTTATAGGGAGTCTCGGATCAGCTCTTACGGGGGATCGTCCGAAGGGCCTAGCATGGTGGGGGTGAAGCTGAGAAGTTGCAAGTCAGGGCCCATGGTTGTGAGGTTTGGAGCTTTGAAGCAGGAGGAAGGGGATGAGGGGGAAGAGGGGAGTAAGTGGAGGAAGGGAGAGGAGGGGAATCAGGAGCAGAAGCAGGAGGAAGTGGAGGAGGGACACGGTAACAGGTCGTACAGGTCGGTAGAGTGCGGTGGAATGCAGTCTCGTGCGGCCCGAAGCAGCCCTGGTGTTTCGGAATCAGCAGGAGGTGGGGGGACAGCAGCAGCTGCGTTTGCTGCTGCTGCGGCTGGTGGTGGTGGAATGAAAGCTCGTCGCAAGTCGGGGTCATGGGATTTCGGTAACATGACTGTTGGAGGGGTGTGGATACCCGATGCTCTAGCAGCGAGTAACAGCGTTACCACTGGTAACATCTTAACACCTTTCAACACCATTGGTGGCATAGGTTTCGCCACCGATGCGTTTGCTGACATTTGCGCCCCTAACGAGAATGACAGTGCCACTGTAGCAGAGGGGACTGGTGGTAACCGGGTAACACTAACAGGTAACAAGACACCGGCCACAGAGCACAGCAGAGGCTTTCCTCTCTTTAGACACAGCAGCTTGAACCGGGGCTTACTTAACGACCACAAAACAGCTCTGGCCAAGATCGGCGCCCTCTGGGGCGGAGGAGGCTTGGACCGACCTCCTCCCGAAGCTGGCATGCAGGTTCGGGAATCCGCCAAACTTGGCGGCGAGGTGCAAGAAACTTCCAAGCCTGATGGGGCCAGTCGGGCAGTGCAACGGCGGTGGGGGGGTTGGAGGTATGGACCTTTGGGTGGTCGTATGGGTGAGCGGGAGGGGAATGAAGGCGGAGCAGGTGGGGCAGCTGCAGCAACGTCTTTAGCAGCAAGAGGAGCACCGAGTGCAACTAGAGCAGCAACTGCAGCAGCAAGAGCAACGGCAACGCTAGCAGCAGGAGGTGTGGCAGTCAGGGCAGGTGAAGTGAGTGTAACGCCAAGACCCCTCACAGCTGAAAGCCCCTGCGTCGGAGGAGGTGGTATTGGTGGCAGAAGGAGGAGGGGGAGACAGGGCAACAGCAACTGGCCTTCCCTCTCCTCATCCTCGTTTGGAGACGCTTCAATAGCAGACACACTCGATCTCGCATCTCCCCGCACCAGCCTGAGTGACGCCTGGGATCAGGTCCTCATCTCTTCCTTGGATGATGATGCCTCTCTCCTTCCCCTGCCGCCCTCCCTCACTGCTGCCGCGCATCCTCTGGATGATACTGTAAGGGCGGTTGGTACCGGTTCTGTCGGGTCAGTAAGGGGTGGGATACAGCAGGGTGAGTGTGGAGAAGCGTGTGTGGCATCTCAGACGAGAGAAATTCTGGCTTGCTCGCAGCGGCTTGCTGCGGGTGTGCAGGTTGCTGCTGCTGCGGCGGCGGTGGTGGCAGGAAGGGGAGGTGAAGCAGCAGCAGAGACTGAGCAGGACGGTGAAAGAGGTATTGGCAGCGATAGGCTACAGATGGAAACTCTGGACAACAGGTCGGGTGACAGTAATGGGATGCTGCAGGGCGGCAGCAGCAGTGGTTTGGGAGCACGGCCCGTCTCAGCAGTCTCAACCGCATCCGTGGCGTCAGTAGCTTCTTCTGTAGTCACGGCCACTGCTTGCCAGGGGATGGAGCCTTGGCTTCCCAGCACACAGAGGGAGGCGGCATGGCACAAAGGCTTGGACTCACCGGAAGCAGAGATGAGAGGGATGGGAGAGGACGGATCAGGAGTGGAAGTGATTCCATCGGGCATATCCCTTCCGACCACCCCCTCTCTCCCGTCGTCCCTTCCCTCCCCCACCTCCACCGTTTCCTCGGCAACCATCAGCATTCCCCGAACCTACAGCAGCTCCGGGTATGGGTTGAGCCCGCCGAATCTGAGAGGGCAGGTTCGGAGTGAGGTGCTACAGCTGCCAGCATGGGTGGATGAGAAAGCTGGAGCGAGAGGGAATGGAGGGGAAGTGGGGATGGGAAGAGTGAGGGGGAGTGAGGAGGTGGGTCTGAGCGAGAGAGAGTGGAAGCATGGGATCCAGAGTGGAAGCTTGGGGGGGCATAGTGCAGTTGGGAGCGGTATGAGTGGTAATGCTACACGGGAATCATCATGTGATAGTGATATGGATGGAGCCTTGCATTCCAAACCTTTTAACTGGAACGAGATAACTCTATATGGAGGAAACTCGGGCAGGAAAACCCTTGATAAAAGTAGTGAGATGGGGAGTAGCAGAGAGCAGGAGAGGGAGAGGGAGCGGGAGAGAGAAAGGCAGAGGGAGAGGGAGAGGGAAAGGGAAAGGCAAAGGGAGAAGGAGAGGATGAGGGAGAGAGAGAAGAAGGCAGAGAGGGAGAGAGCAAGGCATAGGAGCATGGGGAGTACTGCCAGCATCTCAAGCATAGCAACTAGCATTGATGCTTGCGATGCCTCAAGCATGCAAGCCGAAGCTGGTAGGAGCCCCGGTATCAGCCCTGGTGCTAGCCCCGTTTTCAGCCCCGGTGCCAGCCCCGGTAATAGCCCCGGTAGTAGCCCCGGTAGTAGCCCCGGTGCTAGTCCCCGTGCAATCACTGGCCCTGGCAGGAGTTTGCACAGCCACCGCAGCAGCATTGGAAGCATGGGGAGCGGTGGGGAGTGGGCGAGCTTGCACGGCCAATGCAGCAGCGGCAGCAGCAGCATTGGCAGGGTGAGCAGTATGGGAGATCTGACCATGGCAATTGCTGATGCTGATGGAAATGCGGATGGAGGTGACTCTATCGCTTCTAGTGACGGGAGGGAGGGAAGGTGGAGAATGGGCGGACTAAGAGGAGGAAAGAGGGGCGTGGGAGGAGGAGAAAGGTTGTGGAGGGTAAGCGGAGGGGAGGAGGAGCAGGGTGAGGGGGATGGTGGATATTCGAGTGAGACTGGCAGCTCTAGAGGCAGCTCCAGGTACCGCCGGTTCGGCCGAGCCTCTTGGTCGAAACCGAACCTCTCTCTTCCGAAGCTGTCTACTGCATTGCTGTCTCAAGATTCCAGAGGAGGCGAGCATCTGACTCCCGGGCCTAAGACTGCGCGCTCTGCCAATCCTAAGTCCGGACCTGCTACTGCCGAGCCTACTGCTGAGCCAAGCTTGCAGAAACGCCAGCAGCAGCATTCGGTTTTCTCCACGCACAAGCTGCTAGGTCCGGTAAGAAGCTTGGAATCATGGGCCCGAAGCTCAAGCCCAGGTACGGTGAGGTATTACCAGGGACGAGGGAGGGAATCAAGTGGGGATTGGGGCGAGGGGGAAGGTAGAGGCGAGGAGCCTGGGAGGAAGAAGGATGGAGAGGCGCGGGGAAACAGGAAGGCGGCGTTTAGGAGGGAACGGGAAGCGAGAAAAGGTGAAGGGAGGGGAGGGGAGGAGGACGGAGAGAGAAGGGGAGTGTTGTTGCCACCGCTTTCAGCTGCTCCCCTTTCCAGGACTGCCTCTGCACCCATCCACTCACACTCACTCACACTGACCCCCACACTGACTCACACACTCGCACTCCCACCCACACTCACTCCTATTTCCACAGACCAAAGGCACCAGACGTCTATGTCTGTTCACTCAGTGAAGTCTTCTGCACTCCATCTTTCCTTTAAGGAGGCAGCGTATACTAAGACACTAAACGGGGATCAATTCTCGGCACCTGCTTATAAAGGAGATGCCAGTGGCGGGGATAACTGTGGTGGTGTAAGCCAAAGGAATGGGGAGGGTGGGGGAGAGAGAAGAGGGGTTCCAAGGGGTGGGCTGAAGCAGTCTTTGAGTTATGAGGAGAGAGGAGGGAGCAAAGCTGTTCCAATTTCTCATCCCCTTGTCAAGGTGTTTCAATTGGAGGCACAGGGTGCAGAAGGGACAGAGTCGGAAGGGGAGGAGCGGAGGGAGAAAGCATGGGAGAGGAAGAGGGAGGAGGAAAGGGAGAGGGAGTGGGAGAGGGAGAGGGAGCGGTTTGTGGTAGGAAATGTGAGTTTCAGGGAGGGGGAAAGAAAGGAGGGGGATAGTGAGGGTAAAGAAGTTATTGACAAGGAGGGAGGAGGTGTAACAGCGACTGGTGGTTGTTTGGGTGGTAGTGAAGCAAGGGAGGAACGGTCTAGGAAGATGAGGAGGCAGGTGTCGTTCAATTCTGTTGTGAAGGTCTACGAGTATGACGATGTGCGATAATCATTGGTGTACCATGTGATGTGAGGCTGTAGAAAGACATACTGTATGGATGGACCTTGTTTCATATTGGTGATGTATTGTAATGCAAGTACCAATACTGTCATGAAGCCTGCTGCGATTGAAATATCCAAAATATGCGGGGCAATAACAGTGCATGGAAAATGCTACAAATACTCATGCACTCGATTGTTGTACCGTAAACGTTTCATTCGACGATGATGATGCTTTTCTCTACCAAACAAATTTGCGGTAAATCCCATTTCTGAGTTTGATTTCGACCCCCATTGGGGGAGGGGTGCGCCTTCCTCTGAGTTAGTGCAATACAGAGGCAACGCTTGCAGGGCCGACCAGCAAGCTGGCCATCGGCACCTGCCCCCAAAAGAAATGAATTTTTTATATCATGTGGACCGATGGTCCACGTATCAGATATTAAACTGATAAGAACAGATACTACACTTGATCTTAGCCAAAAGGCCGAGAAAGGTATGCTTATTACGAGCATCATTTGTAATTTCATTCTCCGCGTTGGCAACTTCCAATCGTGTTTCGTGGGACTCGTCGACTGAGGATTCCGTCATCCTGGTGCCACGTGTACACCATGGGTCCAGCCTGGCTTGGTTTCAGATTGAACCCTACAGGTGAGCCACCAGGCTGACCAGCATCACCAAGTGGGCAGCCCCTACGATCGCGGATCACACCGCGTCAATCCCGACACCTAACTCTGAGTCGCTTTCAGCCGTTCAGATCGGTGGATCGACGACACATAGTTCACTATTTTATGACGTCTGAGGCGGTGATCACCCAGCACGACCACTTAAAATGATCAATCCCGCTAGGCACGAGCAGCGCGATTCCCGCTAGGCAGCAGCAGCGCGATTCCTGGTAGGCAGCAGCATTTACCCGCTAGTAGCAGCGCGATCGCGCCACGTAGCCCGCGACCCAGCCCGCAATCTCGCCGCCCAGCCCGCGAACGAGCTCCTAGGCCCGTGATCCAGCCGCGTAGCCCGGTACCTCGCAGCCGAGCCCGTGATCTAGCCGCCTAGTCCGCGATCTCGCCGCGGAGCCCGCGATTTAGCCGCCAGGTTCGCGATTTAGCCGCTTGGCAGCGATCTAGCCGACCAGCCCGTGATCTAGCCGCAGAGCCAGCGATTAGGCCGCCCGCAGCGCCGTTAGGCAGCAGAACTGGCGCCATAGCAGGCTCGTTTCACGTACTGGCAGCAGAATCGCGTCACAGCAGCGAAAAACGCGCCACAGCAGCGAAGTCCACGCCACATCAGCGAAATCTGCGTCACGGCAGCGAAGTCCGTGCCACAGCAGTGAGATCCGAGCCATAGCAGCGAGATCCGAGCCATAGCAGCGAGATCCGCGCCATAGCAGTGAAATCCGAGCTATAGCCGCGAGATCCGCGCCATAACAACGTGGTTTGCGCCATAGCAGCAAAAGCCGTGTCTTAGCACCGAAATCCGCCCCTCAGCAACGGAATCCGCGCCATAGCAGCCGCGCCTGGGCCATCGCAGTGAAACCCGCGCCATAAGAGTGTGATCTGTGCCGTAGCAGCGAAGACAGCACCTTTGCAGCGAAACCCGCGCCATAGCAGCACCGTAGAGTAAGAGCAGTAGCAGAGAGTAAGCGAACAAGCCTTAGCCAGATCCTTGAGCCATGGCGGACAACCCGGACCCCGGGGATCCCGGGGGCCGGGTGGGGGGCGGCCTTGACAGCGACGTGACGGGAGCCTTCGGGGGTGAAGGGGGGGTAAGCACAGTAGCAGCTGGTGGGTCGCTCCACCTATTGACCGGTCACAAAAGACGGGGGGGGGCTGAGAGTGCGCTCCAGAGCCCACGCATTCGTCGCCTCCACCACGAAGACCTTCTGTGCCTCTTTGGCAAACCAGCCAAGAGACAGTGTTGTGAAGCAGGCCGTTCGATTTCAGTACTGACATGCGGCCAACCTCTCGAAGACCCTCCCAACACCGGGTCTGACGGCGATTACCCTGTACCTTCGGCCATCATCGGAGAAAGGGGGGGAGCAACAACCGAAAAGGGTCCAGTCGACGAGGCGGCGGTTGTACCACGGGTGGCATCGGAGGTAGCGAGGGCAGCCTGGGAGGAACACCGTAGGCGCTTGCAACAACAGCATGACACTCGCAGACGCTGCCTACCTGTGAGGGCAATGTTGCACGGCGCCGGCTCGGCCGACGCCGCAATCCCCCCGGTCGTGCCACGTCTCGCATGGCGGCAGGAGCGGAGGCGCCGGAGTGCGGCGGGGAAAGACAGGCAGCAGGAGCCACTAGTGGGGGGTCAGCGTGACCCGCAGGTGGGCGGGCAGCAGGGGGCCCGGGAGAGGAGCCGGCAGCCGCCGGTGGGGACGGGGCAGCAGGAGCTGCAGAGCGGAGGGCAGCAGGAGCTGCAGAGCGGGGGGCAGCAGCAGCTGCAGAGCGGAGGGCAGCAGGAGCTGCAGAGCGGAGGGCAGCAGCAGCTGCAGAGCGGAGGGCAGCAGCAGCTGCAGAGCGGAGGGCAGCAGCAGCTGCAGAGCGGAGGGCAGCAGGAGCTGCTGAGCGGAGGGCAGCAGGAGCTGCAGAGCGGAGGGCAGCAGCAGCTGCAGAGCGGAGGGCAGCAGCAGCTGCAGAGCGGAGGGCAGCAGGAGCTGCAGAGCAAAGGGCAGCAGGAGCTGCAAAGCGGAGGGCAGCAGCAGCTGCAGAGCGGAGGGCAGCAGGAGCTGCTGAGCGGAGGGCAGCAGGAGCTGCAGAGCGGAGGGCAGAGGCAGCTGCAGAGCGGAGGGCAGCAGCAGCTGCAGAGCGGAGGGCAGCAGGAGCTGCAGAGCGGAGGGCAGCAGGAGCTGCAGAGCGGAGGGCAGCAGCAGCTGCAGAGCGGAGGGCAGCAGCAGCTGCAGGGCGGAGGGCAGCAGGAGCTGCAGAGCGGAGGGCAGCAGGAGCTGCAGAGCGGAGGGCAGCAGGAGCCGGTTTGGGTGTTGGATGTGGAGATGGCGGACGAGGCTTGCACCGATGAGCTGGAATCAAGCCCCATGGAGGGGGAGAATGCCAACCCTGATTCCCCGGACCAAGCGGAAAGGCCCCGAGCGCGGGGCCGGGGCCGGAGGCGACGGGCAACCAAACTGCAGCAGCTGCAGAGCGGAGGGCAGCAGCAGCTGCCGAGCGGAGGGCAGCAGCAGCTGCAGAGCGGAGGGCAGCAGCAGCTGCCGAGCGGAGGGCAGCAGCAGCTGCAGAGCGGAGGGCAGCAGCAGCTGCCGAGCGGAGGGCAGCAGCAGCTGCAGAGCGGAGGGCAGCAGCAGCTGCCGAGCGGAGGGCAGCAGCAGCTGCAGAGCGGAGGGCAGCAGCAGCTGCCGAGCGGAGGGCAGCAGCAGCTGCAGAGCGGAGGGCAGCAGCAGCTGCCGAGCGGAGGGCAGCAGCAGCTGCAGACCGGAGGGCAGCAGCAGCTGCCAAGCGGAGGGCAGCAGCAGCTGCCGAGCGGAGGGCAGCAGCAGCTGCAGAGCGGAGGGCAGCAGGAGCTGCAGAGCGGAGGGCAGCAGGAGCTGCAGAGCGGAGGGCAGCAGGAGCTGCAGAGCGGAGGGCAGCAGGAGCTGCAGAGCGGAGGGCAACAGCAGCTGCCGAGCGGAGGGCAGCAGCAGCTGCAGAGCGGAGGGCAGCAGGAGCTGCCGAGCGGAGGGCAGCGGCAGCTGCCGAGTGGAGGGCAGCGGCAGCTGCAGAGCGGAGGGCAGCAGGAGCTGCAGAGCGAAGGGCAGCAGGAGCTGCAGAGCGGAGGGCAGCAGCAGCTGCAGAGCGGAGGGCAGCAGCAGCTGCAGAGCGGAGGGCAGCAGCAGCTGCCGAGCGGAGGGCAGCGGGAGCTGCAGAGCGGAGGGCAGCAGCAGCTGCAGAGCGGAGGGCAGCAAGAGCCGGTTTTGGTGTTGGATGTGGAGATGGCGGACGAGGCTTGCACCGATGAGCTGGAATCAAGCCCCATGGAGGGGGAGAATGCCAACCCTGATTCCCCGGACCAAGCAGAAAGGCCCCGAGCGCGGGGCCGGGGCCGGAGGCGACGGGCAACCAAACTGCAGCAGCTGCAGAGCGGAGGGCAGCAGCAGCTGCCGAGCGGAGGGCAGCAGCAGCTGCAGAGCGGAGGGCAGCAGCAGCTGCCGAGCGGAGGGCAGCAGCAGCTGCAGAGCGGAGGGCAGCAGCAGCTGCCGAGCGGAGGGCAGCAGCAGCTGCAGAGCGGAGGGCAGCAGCAGCTGCCGAGCGGAGGGCAGCAGCAGCTGCCGAGCGGAGGGCAGCAGCAGCTGCAGAGCGGAGGGCAGCAGGAGCTGCAGAGCGGAGGGCAGCAGGATCTGCAGAGCGGAGGGCAGCAGGAGCTGCAGAGCGGAGGGCAGCAGGTGCTGCAGAGCGGAGGGCAGCAGGAGCAGCAGAGCGGAGGGCAACAGCAGCTGCCGAGCGGAGGGCAGCAGCAGCTGCAGAGCGGAGGGCAGCAGGAGCTGCCGAGCGGAGGGCAGCGGCAGCTGCCGAGTGGAGGGCAGCGGCAGCTGCAGAGCGGAGGGCAGCAGGAGCTGCAGAGCGAAGGGCAGCAGGAGCTGCAGAGCGGAGGGCAGCAGCAGCTGCGGAGCGGAGGGCAGCAAGAGCCGGTTTGGGTGTTGGATGTGGAGATGGCGAACGAGGCTTGCACCGATGAGCTGGAATCAAGCCCAATGGAGGGGGAGGATGCCAACCCTGATTCCCCGGACCAAGCGGAAAGGCCCCGAGCGCGGGGCCGGGGCCGGAGGCGACGGGCAACCAAACTGCAGCAGCTGCAGAGCGGAGGGCAGCAGCAGCTGCAGAGCGGAGGGCAGCAGCAGCTGCCGAGCGGAGGGCAGCAGCAGCTGCAGAGCGGAGGGCAGCAGCAGCTGCCGAGCGGAGGGCAGCAGCAGCTGCAGAGCGGAGGGCAGCAGCAGCTGCCGAGCGGAGGGCAGCAGCAGCTGCCGAGCAGAGGGCAGCAGCAGCTGCAGAGCGGAGGGCAGCAGGAGCTGCAGAGCGGAGGGCAGCAGGAGCTGCAGAGCGGAGGGCAGCAGGAGCTGCAGAGCGGAGGGCAGCAGCAGCTGCAGAGCGGAGGGCAGCAGCAGCTGCCGAGCGGAGGGCAGCAGCAGCTGCAGAGCGGAGGGCAGCAGCAGCTGCCGAGCGGAGGGCAGCAGCAGCTGCAGAGCGGAGGGCAGCAGCAGCTGCCGAGCGGAGGGCAGCAGCAGCTGCAGAGCGGAGGGCAGCAGCAGCTGCCGAGCGGAGGGCAGCAGCAGCTGCAGACCGGAGGGCAGCAGCAGCTGCCGAGCGGAGGGCAGCAGCAGCTGCCGAGCGGAGGGCAGCAGCAGCTGCAGAGCGGAGGGCAGCAGGAGCTGCAGAGCGGAGGGCAGCAGGAGCTGAAGAGCGGAGGGCAGCAGGAGCTGCAGAGCGGAGGGCAGCAGGAGCTGCAGAGCGGAGGGCAACAGCAGCTGCCGAGCGGAGGGCAGCAGCAGCTGCAGAGCGGAGGGCAGCAGGAGCTGCCGAGCGGAGGGCAGCGGCAGCTGCCGAGTGGAGGGCAGCGGCAGCTGCAGAGCGGAGGGCAGCAGGAGCTGCAGAGCGAAGGGCAGCAGGAGCTGCAGAGCGGAGGGCAGCAGCAGCTGCAGAGCGGAGGGCAGCAGCAGCTGCAGAGCGGAGGGCAGCAGCAGCTGCCGAGCGGAGGGCAGCGGGAGCTGCAGAGCGGAGGGCAGCAGCAGCTGCAGAGCGGAGGGCAGCAAGAGCCGGTTTGGGTGTTGGATGTGGAGATGGCGGACGAGGCTTGCACCGATGAGCTGGAATCAAGCCCCATGGAGGGGGAGAATGCCAACCCTGATTCCCCGGACCAAGCAGAAAGGCCCCGAGCGCGGGGCCGGGGCCGGAGGCGACGGGCAACCAAACTGCAGCAGCTGCAGAGCGGAGGGCAGCAGCAGCTGCCGAGCGGAGGGCAGCAGCAGCTGCAGAGCGGAGGGCAGCAGCAGCTGCCGAGCGGAGGGCAGCAGCAGCTGCAGAGCGGAGGGCAGCAGCAGCTGCCGAGCGGAGGGCAGCAGCAGCTGCAGAGCGGAGGGCAGCAGCAGCTGCCGAGCGGAGGGCAGCAGCAGCTGCAGAGCGGAGGGCAGCAGCAGCTGCCGAGCGGAGGGCAGCAGCAGCTGCCGAGCGGAGGGCAGCAGCAGCTGCAGAGCGGAGGGCAGCAGGAGCTGCAGAGCGGAGGGCAGCAGGATCTGCAGAGCGGAGGGCAGCAGGAGCTGCAGAGCGGAGGGCAGCAGGTGCTGCAGAGCGGAGGGCAGCAGGAGCAGCAGAGTGGAGGGCAACAGCAGCTGCCGAGCGGAGGGCAGCAGCAGCTGCAGAGTGGAGGGCAGCAGGAGCTGCCGAGCGGAGGGCAGCGGCAGCTGCCGAGTGGAGGGCAGCGGCAGCTGCAGAGCGGAGGGCAGCAGGAGCTGCAGAGCGAAGGGCAGCAGGAGCTGCAGAGCGGAGGGCAGCAGCAGCTGCAGAGCGGAGGGCAGCAGCAGCTGCAGAGCGGAGGGCAGCAGCAGCTGCCGAGCGGAGGGCAGCGGGAGCTGCAGAGCGGAGGGCAGCAGCAGCTGCGGAGCGGAGGGCAGCAAGAGCCGGTTTGGGTGTTGGATGTGGAGATGGCGAACGAGGCTTGCACCGATGAGCTGGAATCAAGCCCAATGGAGGGGGAGGATGCCAACCCTGATTCCCCGGACCAAGCGGAAAGGCCCCGAGCGCGGGGCCGGGGCCGGAGGCGACGGGCAACCAAACTGCAGCAGCTGCAGAGCGGAGGGCAGCAGCAGCTGCCGAGCGGAGGGCAGCAGCAGCTGCAGAGCGGAGGGCAGCAGCAGCTGCCGAGCGGAGGGCAGCAGCAGCTGCAGAGCGGAGGGCAGCAGCAGCTGCCGAGCGGAGGGCAGCAGCAGCTGCAGAGCGGAGGGCAGCAGCAGCTGCCGAGCGGAGGGCAGCAGCAGCTGCAGAGCGGAGGGCAGCAGCAGCTGCAGAGCGGAGGGCAGCAGCAGCTGCCGAGCGGAGGGCAGCAGCAGCTGCAGAGCGGAGGGCAGCAGGAGCTGCAGAGCGGAGGGCAGCAGGAGCTGCAGAGCGGAGGGCAGCAGGAGCTGCAGAGCGGAGGGCAGCAGCAGCTGCAGAGCGGAGGGCAGCAGGAGCTGCAGAGCGGAGGGCAACAGCAGCTGCCGAGCGGAGGGCAGCAGCAGCTGCAGAGCGGAGGGCAGCAGGAGCTGCCGAGCGGAGGGCAGCGGCAGCTGCCGAGTGGAGGGCAGCGGCAGCTGCAGAGCGGAGGGCAGCAGGAGCTGCAGAGCGAAGGGCAGCAGGAGCTGCAGAGCGGAGGGCAGCAGTAGCTGCAGAGCGGAGGGCAGCAGCAGCTGCAGAGCGGAGGGCAGCAGCAGCTGCCGAGCGGAGGGCAGCGGGAGCTGCAGAGCGGAGGGCAGCAGCAGCTGCAGAGCGGAGGGCAGCAAGAGCCGGTTTGGGTGTTGGATGTGGAGATGGCGGACGAGGCTTGCACCGATGAGCTGGAATCAAGCCCCATGGAGGGGGAGAATGCCAACCCTGATTCCCCGGACCAAGCGGAAAGGCCCCGAGCGCGGGGCCGGGGCCGGAGGCGACGGGCAACCAAACTGCAGCAGCTGCAGAGCGGAGGGCAGCAGCAGCTGCCGAGCGGAGAGCAGCAGCAGCTGCAGAGCGGAGGGCAGCAGCAGTTGCCGAGCGGAGGGCAGCTGCGTGCAGAGCAGAGGGCAGCAGCAGCTGCCGAGCGGAGGGCAGCAGCAGCTGCAGAGCGGAGGGCACCAGCTGCCGAGCGGAGGGCAGCAGCAGCTGCAGAGCGGAGGGCAGCAGCAGCTGCAGAGCGGAGGGCAGCAGGAGCTGCAGAGCGGAGGGCAGCAGCAGCTGCAGAGCGGAGGGCAGCAGCAGCTGCAGAGCGGAGGGCAGCAGCAGCTGCCGAGCGGAGGGCAGCGGGAGCTGCAGAGCGGAGGGCAGCAGCAGCTGCAGAGCGGAGGGCAGCAGCAGCTGCAGAGCGGAGGGCAGCAGCAGCTGCAGAGCGGAGGGCAGCAGCAGCTGCAGAGCGGAGGGCAGCAGCAGCTGCAGGGCGGAGGGCAGCAGGAGCTGCAGAGCGGAGGGCAACGGCAATTGCAGAGCGAAGGGCAGCAGCAGTTGCAGAGCGGAGGGCAGCAGCAGCTGCAGTGCGGAGGGATGGAGCTTGCAAGGCCGTTAGAGGGGGGCATGGAGACGGAGTCTAGCAGGAGGGTCTTGCCGGCGTGTTCGAGTGGAGAGGAGCACCCAGACCCTACATTGACACCCCCGCCCCGCATTCCGTGCGAAACCTGTTATCGCACGTTCACGGAGAGAGGAAAGGCCACACGCCATATGTCGGCCTGCAGGGCAGCGGACGCCCAGCGTCGTGCTCAGGCGCTTGGGTTGACCCGCGACGTCACAGATGACTCGGACGGCGAACCCCCGCCACCACGTGATATCAGTGAAGAGGTATGGGCCGCAGTTCCTACATGGGACTGGGAGTCGTTTTTTGGGATTGAATTGGTGCCAGGGAGAATCATGCGTCGTATCCCACAGCGCGCTAGATTGGGGGTGCTTGATGCACTGTCTTGTGTCCTGAAGCGACTACAGTTAAAGGCAGCAGACGAGGCGGCGTCCTTGGTCTTTTTGGCCTTCCCTCGTCTTATCTTGGGGATGCCAACTGGGCAAGGCCAGGGGCATAGGGCGGCAATCAGGGAGCGGTTGGAGAAGTTTTGGGTCGGGGAGTGGCGGGAGCTGTTTGAGTTGGCGGTGGCGGTAATGCAACCTGCGGCGCGTCCTTTGTCCTTCACCCCCCCCGAGCATGATCCTGATGCGGTGCGCCTGGCTCGCTGCCGCACAAGGTGCAAAGTGGGAGAATGGAGTCGGGGTTTGACGTGTCTTACTGCCGGTAGCATCGCTCAGCCCTCTCAGCACATGGTGGACGCGCTGCGAGCGAAACACCCATCGAGCGAGACCGCCTTTCCGGAGTGGTTGCAGGAGGAGATAGTTGAGCCTTCCCTTATCCCGCAGCTCTCAGTGGAGGTACTTGGTCAGGCGATCCACTCTGCGGCTAGGGCGTCGGCACCAGGACCGTCGGGGTGGGTGACGGAGCACCTGCGCGACACTTTTCTCTCTGAGCCCGCATACCTGCCTCACCTGCTAGGAGTCTTCACCCAGTGGACCAAGGGAGAGGTAGCGGAGCGCGTGCGACCCTGGCTCACTGCGTCCAACCTTGTGGGCCTGTCGAAGCCGAATGGTGACGTTCGCCTGGTGGCTATAGGCGAGGTGCTCCCCCGCATACTATCTCGGGCCCTATGCATCGTGCTTCGGCCGAAGATGATGTCGCACTTTGCGCCGTGTAACCAGCTAGGAGTCGGATCCAGGTCGGGAGTGGAAGTCCTCGCACATGCCTTTCGTTCTGCCATCTCTACTCACCCGTCATGGTGCGCGCTTCAAATTGATGTGGCGAATGCTTTCAACTCCTTCCATCGGCGGGAAATGTTTGAAGGACTTCGACAGTCCCCTTTTGCGGGTTTGATCCCATTCCTGCGTGTCTTCTACGGCACTCCTAGCGACCTCTACCTCCGTGCGGGCCCCTTCGTCGAAGCTTTGGCTTCAGAGCGAGGATCGAGGCAAGGGGACCCATTGGGGCCGTTTCTGTTCGCGTTCACACAGCAGCTGGTTATGGAGCCCACCAAACAAGAATTCACCGACCTACTCTTTCTCAGCTACGCCGATGATACGTACATCTTGGGGCCTAGGGAGCGGGTGCTAGCAGCTTATGAGGTCTTGCGGGAACGACTGGGCGGGCTTGGTCTGGAGGTGCAGCCGCATAAGTGCAAGCTTTGGGAGCGAGGGGTGGACCAGGAGGGAGAGGAGAGGAACGAGACCGTCCCGCCCGGCATGCAGCAAACATGGACGGGGCTCACTGTAGTGGGGGTTCCTATTGGGGAGGAGGAGTGGGAGGTGGCCAGCTTGCGAGGCCGGCTGATGCAGCTGCATGCACCTGTCCCTTGGCTTCCTTTGCTCGACCACCCACAGATTGCGTCCCATCTGCTGGCGATCGCAGTGTCAGCGCGCCCGATTTACCTCACAAGGACGATGCCTCCACGGCCTGAGGTTGTGGAGGCTTTCCGCGACTGGGACACGAAGCTTGAGGATTGTTTTGAGCAGCTGTTTCCAGATAGCACATGGGATCATGATTCGGCAAGGTCGCAGATGGCCCGTCTACAGCTGCACCTTCCAGTCAGACTTGGAGGGTTTGGCATTCGATCTGCAGCTGACCTTAGCCCTCTGTCGTACGCATGTGGTTGGTGCCAGGCAGTGAGCGATGTGGCTCGGATGGGGGTGGCAGGGGAGGAACGGATGTTTGAGGAGTTTTTCCGCACGCCCGAGGCTACGACCTTGCTGGATCCTTGGTTTGCGAGAGCAGTGGAGCTGCTGCCACAGTCGGTCAGGCAGGAGATGCCACCCCTAGCCTTATGCACCGCTGACCCCCCTGTGCTGCTTTTCCCCACACAACACCGTCGCCTAGCGGTTGAGAGTCTGCAGACTCTTCGGGGTATGGCCCACGACGACGCCACCATGGCCCGTTTGACATCCCTTCAGGGCCCGGGGGCAGGGGCGTGGGTCTCCGCCGTCCCTTCGCACGAAGAGGCTACCTTCACCGCAGCCGAGTGGAGCATCTGTGCGTCCATGCGCCTAGGCCTCCCCATACAGCAGCTGATAGTCGCCGGCAAGTGCGCGTGTGGGTTTGAGTTTGCTGATCCCTCTGACCCGCATCATGCCCTTCGCTGCAAGTACCAGTACGCACCTTCTCGTGTTCACGACGCGGTTAAGTTTGTGGTGGCGAAGATAGCTAAAGGGGCGGGTGGGGTCGTGACCATGGAAGACGACACGTTGCTGCCAGGGAAGAGGGTGGCTGTGGCGGTGCGGAGACTGAGGGAGGGGGAGGAGCATGCGCTGGAGGTTAGTGTGGTGGACCCTATCTCGTTGTCCGCGCAGCACCATGGACAGATTGGTCGCAAGGTGGGTTTTGCCGCTAGAGAGAGGGAAAAGCGGAAGGCGGCGGACTACAAATTGCTTCTGCAGCGACATAGGGGAGTGCAGTTTACACCTCTCATTGCTGAGACATGGGGTTGCCTGGGGGGGAGTTTTGGGCGGTGGCTTAAGAAACAGGGCGACGCGCAGATTGAGGTAGCGAAGACGAAAGGGGCGGCGAGAGCTACGGGGAAAGGTTTCTCGGCTTACTTGCTTGGATCACTTAAAGCGGCCATAGGTGTGGCTTTGCAGCGGGCTCAGGCGCGTGTGATCTTGTTGCGCGCGGCGTCGATGATGAGAGGCCCAGAGGCTGTTTCGGTGGAGCGGGAGGATTTTGAGGAGGAGATGGGATGGGATGCTCCGTGGGCGGATGCGCCCTATTTGGTGGACATGCGGGTTTAGAGGTGTGCTAGTGGTACCCTTCCACCCACCCCACCACCACAAACAAGCTCTTCTGACCCCACACCTGGACGGCCCCACCTTCGTTTCTGTTCATGAGCCGTGACAGAACAGAAGGATGTGTCACTCTGTACAAGATCGAAGACGACAAGAAGCTGGTAATTTTCCACCCAATCAGCTCAGTCGGGCATGCAGAAGCAGGTCACAAAAAACCGTTACCTTTGCTCACTTCACATGAGCCAAGACCTGAAAATGCGCTTGGCGGTTTCACCAGCGAGCAGCGATTGATGCTCCAACAACTGCTCCGATAATCGTTCGAATTCATAGTGTCATGGTGTTGCAGACAATCGAAGTATAGCCTTTACAGCAAGTAAAAAAAAAAAAAATCACAACACACACGCAAAGCACGTTTGTACCACCTACAGTCCTCTCCTCTGCGCAGCGCAGTGGTACAAACAGTTTCCTGCCCAGTATGCCCCCACGCGACGCGATTTCCATGCGTAAGCCCCATGGTATCGCGTAATGGCTTTCAATAATAACTTTACCCGTTCGCGCCGCGGCGTCGAGCTGCGTGTTCCTCCCAGCACCCCTTTGTAATCCTTCCCATCGTTCGCCGCCGCCGGGGGGGCCTCACGAGCCGCGCCCCTCGTCCTAGTTCCGCCTCTGCCGCACCACTCGAGTCCACCTCCTCGCCCCCGGAGCCTCTCACGCTTCCGCGCGTTGTTCAGCGCAACGCCATCCGCGCCCCCCTTCTCCTCCCCTTCCCCCTCCCCCCTCCCCACACCCCCCCTCCCCTTCCTCCTCCCGACGCTGCCGACGTCCGAATCGGCGACGCTCCACGCTGCCGACGCGCGAAGCTGCTGGCGCGGCGACGCCGCGATGCGCGACGCTCGATTTCGACGCGCGAGGAGGGTCGAGCTGGGAGCGAACAGCCTTGGCAGGCTTCACGAGACGTGGCCAAGGCTGCATATAAGCAGCGACGACGAGGAGTAAGGCCCACCCTCTCCTCCCCTCCCTAACGCGGCATTACGACCTACCCTACTAAGACGATTCTACTGAAGTCATCAATTCTACGCGGCATTTCTATGATGATTGCAATTCGGTCGTGAGATTCTTAGATTCGTGCAATTCATGAGATTCATGAGAGTCATCTCTAGCCTTCGCCTCTAGTCCCTTCGGGCATCATGCCTTCCGCTCCCCGCCGTCATGCGACTTCGTGTGACTTCGTGCCGACTCCTGTCAACCCCATTGCTGAAACGTCGCCCTTACTGCATATCCCCCATACAACCTCTGCTCGCCCCCCGCCCCCCCCCGCCCGTTTCCCACATCCAATACCAGGCTCCTGCCGCCATGTGTCCACTGTTGATAGGTCCACGGATTTGGTCGAAACATCTACTTTTCTCTCCTCTCTACCCCCCACCTCCCCCTTGCAAGTGGGGTGCAAAGAATCGGCTCGCTCATTCCCTCCCCGCCCTCTCATCCCGTCCCCACCCTCTCATCCTCTCCCCACCCTCTCATTCTCTCCCATCCCTCTCAAAATCTTCCCTCCCTCTCATCCTCTCCCCACCCTCTCATCCTCTCCCATCCCTCTCATCCTCTCCCCACCCTCTCCTCCCCTCCCTAACGCGCCGTTACGACCTACCGTGCAAAGGCAATTCTATCGAAGCCACAGTCCTACGACGCGTGGGATTCAGTCATGCAGTTCGTGGCAGTTCTTGCAATTCATCTCCTGCCTTCGCCTCTAGGCAGTTCTTGTCGCTAGCCTTATCTACCTTGTCCCCTTTCCTTCTCACCTTTTCTTATCACCGCTCACAGGGAAGGTGTAAACCAAGGCCGACTCCAGCTGTGCCACACGAGATGGATGTGTGCTTTCTCTTTGTTCCTCGTTATGCTGCTTCCTGCCCCTCTTGCTCCGCCTTACCCTCTCACCTCAGTCCTCACAGGGAAGGGAAGGAGCATGCCACTTAAGATGGCAGTGTACTCTCGGTTGAAAGCAGTCACTTCTTTCATCCAAGGGCCTTTTTGCTTCCTCTTATTGTGAGCGAGCCTATACTCCAGCCCTTCCCATTTTCCCCTTTCGCCCCTTCCCCCTTCCGCTTTCCCCTTTCCCCCTTCCCCCCTTCACACCCACTCGTTGCCTCACAGATCTTCCATGGCACTGACACATCCCAATTATCCCATACTTACACTTGTTTTCTCTTTCGGCCACTTTTGGTGACTTTTGACTCTCTGAAGTCTTACTCTCTCCTTCGCCTAGCTCTGTGGCCAGATCATCCACTTCGTAACAAGCTTCCCTTCTTCCTTTTTTCCTTTCTTTCCTCCTCACTTCCCTACCCCTTCCCTAGTTCGTTTTCTCCTCACTTCCCGTCCCCCTTCCCTCCTTCCTTTCCTCCTTCCTGTCTTTTTCCCATCCCTCCCTTCCCTTTCCTCCTTCCTTTCTCCATCTCTCTGTTCTTTCCTCCTCCCCTCCTTTCTCCCTTCAAAAAACCCTTTAATTCCATCCAAAACCCAACTTCCAGACCCAACCAATTTCTCACAGGTATGCCATGGCGTCTCGGCGACCCTTCTCTCCCGTCCTCCTATTTGCACGCGGCCAGGTGCAGCTATTTTGAGGCGCCTCAAAATGCACCTCAGCTATTTTGAGGCGCCTCAAAATGCACCTCAGCTATTTTGAGGCGCCTCAAAAGGCGGCCCTTCTCTCCCGTCCTCCTATTCGCACGCGGCCAGGTGCAGCAATCTCATGTACTCCACAGCAAGCATTCCCCTTTCCATTCTCCAAAACACGTCAGTGTTTACTTTGCCACGAGCCTTCACCATCTCATCCTCTGCACCCACACCTACTAAAGCCACCTTACACACCTTACTCTCTCACAGGCACGCCATGGCATCTCACCGACCCTTCTGTCCCATCCAAACCCCCACCCCCCAACCCCACACACCCCAATTCTCACAGGCACGCCATGCCATAACGCCCCATTCTTCTCTCCGCTGCTCCAGTTCGCCATATCCCTCAGCCAGCTGTACGGCCACGTCATCCACTTTGCGACGCGCTTCCTGGAAGGTTCCAAGCGCACCAACCCGACCCGATTTACTTCTGGGGCTACGTCATTGGATGAACGCCGTTTGCCATCCGCTGCCGCTGCTGGGGTCATGTCCTGGCAGTTATGGGAGCAGCCAATGCAGTTGGGGATAGTGGTGGCGGTGGTGGGGCGAGTGGGCCAGTGAATAAGGCTGTGAATAGCAGACGGGCAGAGGGGATGAAAAGTTTTTCCTTGCGTCTGGGTCTGATGGCTAAGGAAAGTTTTCCCTTGCGTCAGGGAACAAACTTTTCAGCCTGTGAATGAGCAGGCATCAAATATCTCAGGTGAGGGTAGTGAAGCGGTGAATGGGGCAACGAAGCTACCTCTGCGGCAGAAAACAAGCGAGCCGACCTTGTACACTCAAGTGCTTCATTCATCAGCATGGATGCCATCTGAACCGCTTTGCACCATCCGAATGCCATCTGTACCACTCTGAACTTTGCCATCATCCTGTCTTTGTCCACCTTCTGCATTGCAGTCGTTTGTTACTGGCGGGGCAAGGCAAGGTGGGATTGTACTGCAGTGGTCGTTGGCACAGGCACTGCAGTGAGGAGTATAGAGGGAGAGCGCAAAAGGGTAACAGCAAATTAGTTGAAATCGCAGTTTGCTGAGAACATGTGAAGGTGCTATAGGATAGAGACGTTATGCATGCACATGATTTTACCTGATTGGCTGTTCTACATTACGCAGGTTGCAACATCTCTACATCTGTTTCTGGAACAAAATGGCACATTGCGTAAAACAAGCTACACCTCATACACATAAGATAAACTAACAACCCAGAAATCATGCAAATGGTTGCTTCACTATCCAAACGCAATGGCATCCAGGGTCCCATTCTCCACTATCTCATTCACCACCCCCCTCTTCAGCTTATCGCCAGATTGATGAAAAATACACGGAAACGATTTAGTAACCCTGGAATACACCTTGGTCTCCGTTCCCGATCCCTGCACTTCGTACTGCTCGAATCGCCGCCCTCCCAGCAGCTCCATGAGAGCGTTGTAGTGGTCCAGCTTGATAAACGGCGGCGGCGCTGCCTGCCTGGCCGCCTCTAGCTTCTCCGGAGTGACATCCTCTGGGATCAGGTCTTGTAACGGACCGGGTAGGGCACAGAGGTATTTCAGAGTGCCGGGGGTAGGGATGACGGTCGAGGAGGAAATCTGTAATTTTCTGTTTGCACGAGGAGCTGCTTCAAGTGAAGTAGCTAATGCTGCTTGGTGGGAAAGGAGTGACTGAATCGAGGTGAAATTCGTTTCAGGGTAAGGCGTCCGTGGAAGGGAGTTGAAGAGGTAGGGTTGGGCCAAGTAACCAGTGACGAACTGTCGCTGATCCTCCATACAGTCACTCGTGTACGTCGCGTCTATCATCTCCGATAACGCCCACGCGTACCCGACATAGGACCCCGCATTAAGGTGCCGATTCGGAAAAGGGTACTTGAGCTTCTGTGAGTAAAACGGGATTACATCGACTGTTGGATACGCGAAAATCTCGGCTCCGAAAACGACAGGCGCGTTAAGCGAGAGGAACGCTTTAACGAGCTGATCCGGTCCGCATAGCTCACGATTAGGCAGGAACAAGACGTCGTCCGCATCAGTTACTATCACGATGCGGTCACGGGGTAGAGTCCTCAAATACTCCCGATAGTATCTCACGCGCCCGCCAAGTCCCTTCCAGGTCTCGTTCAGACCAAGCACTGCAAACGGAACTCCCACCAAATCGCAAAACTTAGCTAAGCGCTGAACGCCTTTTCCACACCGGGTGGAAAACGTTATCCATTCGATCTGGCAGCCGGAATGGGTGAATGACGAGGTGGGCTTTATATCGCGAGGGTCAACGTCGGAATCATACACGACTCGGCAACCGTCTTTTTCCGGATTTTCCGCCGCTCCCAGATTGGCTTCTAAACCGCTTCCCACTTCGCTGCCGCTGCTGGTGCTGCTGATGTCTTCTCCGGTCCTCATGTGAAGGTAACGAGTTTCATTTCCCTTATCGAAGCCTGCTTTTCCGCGCAGGGCGGCTGCGTTTACCAAATCGGAGCACGCAATTCCGCGGAAAAATGGCATGCTATGCATTCCGTTATACGCGAGGCCGACTCCCACGCACGAATCTAACGAATCGCGGAAGGCTGTGACACCGGGACTCGCGCCGGACGAGAAATTGTACACCCACACGAGCAGCATCGCGAACGACATAGTCGCCAAAAAAGACACTCCGAAGGCCCGTTTCGCGACGAGCCAGAGCGACGAAATCCAGGAGCCATGTTCATGAACGGGTGGTACGGTGGGCTTTGCCATGCCTCCGTCGAGACGCGAGTCGCCGTTCGTCACGAAAAAACTAAGACTCGGATAGAACATTCGGCTTGCAACGGCCTTTCGGCCTCCCCCCGCGTGATGTCGTCCAGTCCGGCTGCATACAGCGGCGCTCGCCATCTCTCAGACGTGGGGTGGTAATAGTGATTCTGATGCTCGCACTTGTTTCACACGGCTCTTGTGGATGCTTGGTAGTAGTTAGAGCAATCCCGCAGGCATCCAAACCCTATCCTGAGTGAGTGACAGACGACGTCCGAGCGAGGAGCAGAAGTTTTAGGGCGTGTTACATTTTTGGCCTTACGTCGTCCGTCCCATTGACCGTCCGAACAATTTGCTGGTAACTAGTTTCGCTTGATTTCGGATGGCATCTCGCATATCAGCATGCGACGTCGCATGCGTCTGTACCGAGGATGGAACTATTTCAGTGCTCCCCGCATAGACGTTGGTCCGGATGCATGCTGTCCGTCAGGTGGGAAGGCAAAACGAGCCGCGTGTTGATTGGCGGGCGAAATTCTGAAACGAAAATGGAATCCGCCCATCAGCTGTCTAGCCGCTCAAAACCAATCACGCGTTGCACAGATCGCGTGGTGGGCGAAAATTGCGACCAGGCGGGTATTGTGTTACAGAGTGTTCACAATTTTGAATTTCGAAACTCAAAATTGTTCCACTTCCAGACGTTCGGACGAGGCTTGTTCCGGACGTGAGCCTCGGACAGCCCGTACGAGATGATCCGTACCATCGACTGAGCATCGTCCAGACAAAAGGGCCTCGAAGAAAATGTAACACGCCCTTAGGCGTGCATTGCTTTCCGCCGCTCTTTCTGTGACCTCGAAAGACTCCGCAAGAAACAACTTTGCCGAACGAGACGCGGGCCTAGGAATCTTGAACATGCGGGCGAGAGCCTGTTCAGCCTATCCCACCCCATCACGTGTACGATACGTGTGCGCTCTGGGAAGGTGCAGCAGTTCTTGACGAACATAGAAGCGCGTTGGTTTCTGGCGACTTCTTTCTGCGACTTCGAACGACTTCGCAAGAAGCAGTTGTTTGCCGAAGGACACGAGAACGTCATTCGGGCCCATTCAACGACGGGAAGACCTCGGGAAGATGTTCAGCAATGGATTCGCGGCTTCTTGGCAGTCTGCTTTGTTCAGCAAAGCAGTTACAGTACATTATAGATTCGCGGCTTGCATTGGCATCCAACACTGTACAGTACAGTATGCTGCCCGTCTGGTGTGTTGTGGTGGTACACCCTCTCTCTCGCCAGACTGACATTGGCCATATTGACGGACCGGCTGTACTGACATCAATGCGTCCAGAATGGTCCCAGAACCATACCATATAAGCACATTTGCCGCACTCAACCGTACTCAAACGCAATGTTTCTTCCATAAAAAGTTGTGTACCGTTCCTCTGGAGTCCATTTGCCCGCCACCTACCTGGCGTTCGGTTGCAAGCACCAGATCGCTAGGGTCCAAGCAAAAGTACGCTACAGTACGCACTGTAGCCAGTGCTTCCCATTGTCAGTCTGGCGAGAGAGAGGGTGTAGTGGTGGTAACGGCTGTCTGCAGGTGCTTTGCGTGACTCACGACAAGTACAGTTGTACGGTTGTGTGCATGTGAGATTGTGAATGCCGGGCACAATTGCACATGCCGGGTTGTGTAGAACCCGGTGATCTCCCTAGTAACGAACCCTGGCAGGCTAGGAACTTCCCTGAGGGTGACGGTGACGGTGACGGTGAAGTTCAGGCCAACGGGTTTGCTAGCAGTGTGTGCTTGGGAAGATGGCGGGAAAAAAACTCCCCACCCCAGGTGGATGAGGCTTTCGGGAAGGACTCGGGGGGAAGGGGGATGTTTCGATTCTGTTCGCGCTTGTTTCTCACGGTTCTCACGCTGCTGAGCTTGATTCGTCCTCCGACGCCCCCATGATCCCATCTCCGCGCGCGTCCCAGGGAGGTCCAACATTTGCGCATTGTTTCCGCCGTGTCCGCCGGACTTTGAAAGACTCCGCAAGAGTCATCGTTGCTGAACGAGACAACGTGTGGGCTGCTGTTGCTTGACTTGCGATGACGTGACGGGAATGGCGCGGTACAGAATGGCACAGTACAGTACCAACCACCTCTGGAAGCATTGTAGCGCCAGGCGCTCCAAAGCCCCCAAGCTGGCGGAATGGTGACGGTGAAGCTCACGTCCACGAGTTTGGGGAGTGCGTGGAAAATGGCGGGAGGGTGGTGGGAAGTTCCCCAGGTGGCTGAAGCTCTCGTGCCGAAACTCTGGGTCTGGGGGAAGGGGAATGTCTGGGGGGGAGGGGGGGGGGGGGGGAGGGGGGAGGTTGTGCTGTTGAGCTTCTTGTGCACGAACTGCTGCTTTGACTCGAGTCAAACCAAGTTTCTGCAAGTGGATGTCTGTGTCAAATTACATCAGTAAAAGCGTGTTCAAAGTAAACATGTTCTCCGATATCTTTATGCCCCTTAATTTTCACACCGCGCTTCGGTGTCACTTCGGGGTCCTCAGCCCAACTTTGTTGGGAGCCGAGCTGCCAAAGTGTGGTTGAACATCTAGACCCCCCCCCCCCCCCCCA